AGCGCCGGCCCAATGACCCACATGGCTCTTGAGTAGGCTTTACCTACCTTACCTATTGCTGTGACAAAGGGTTAATGCTTGAGATGTCAGCTTTGAAACTCAATACTATAACTAGGTTGTTATGGAAATGGAAATGCATCAACATCCATAGTGCCACTTGTGTACTTTAAACTGACAGTATTGTACAAACAAACAAGGGAACATTAACCATGAACTATTGATAACAGCAAACTTAAGTATACTTACACAGGTTTGATTCCATTCTCTATCATCCTGATAGTTCGATAAAACATGCCCATCAAATGACTAAAGACCACAGTTAAACATTAATAATGTTGATCACATTGGTAAAGATAACATAATGTTTCTTATGAAAGTTCCCTACACAAGTTGCTTTGCAAGTTCTGACATTTCTGTTGTGACCGTTCTTTTACTCGTGTTATTTGCATAAGATTTCGAGAACAACCTATCAGTTCCACGAAAGAAAGAAGGAAAGAAAAGTACACCCCTATACCCTCACGCTAAGTAATAATTTCTTACCACTCAGGATTTCATAATGCTGCTGGAAATATCAAGCAAGGATATATGGGCATGTCATTTTACTCTCACTTTTATTGTACAGTAGTGTCAGCTGAGCATCAGTAAAGTATCAGCCAACTGTCTACAGAGTGTCGGTTAAGTATTGACCTTGTGTCAACCACATATCATTTGTTGGTTCAGAGACGATGACTACTGGCCAATACTTGGCTGACATATTGGGAGAGAGGCCGCCCATATATCAGCCAACACTCAGTCAACAGGTTGACCAAGTGTACTGACCGATACTCGACTGACAAACGCATTAGGTACACATGATCCAAAAGCGTTTACCTGGTAATTTCTCCTGCTTCATTTGTTAGCTGACTACCATCTGATCTCACTGCTATGAGAAACTGATAAATGCTCATGGATGCATCAATCGCAATCTTCCTTCCTAGAATAGTGTCAAGGATCAACAGCTAACTCAAACTGCTCGCCACCGAGTGATATCCTTCATACTTAAGCCATAAAACACCTTTTATGGACGCGATAAAGCTACTTGGGATGTTCAAGGAACACTCGGAAAGCTTAAAAATCACTGCTTTCATAACATAACTAGTTACATGCGGGTTTTAAAACTTGATAAAGCATCTACTTGGGGACTGAATTCTTCCATCAGACGATGTCTACTGTGTTCATTATCTTATAATCGCACATATACCATGTTTCTCGTGTAGCTTTCCTTGAGGAACCATCTGACCATAGAATTGACTGACTCACCGAAATAGTTCTTAATCTCATTCTCTTTAGATCCAGAGGGAGCGTGATCTCCGATCACCTTAGAAAGACCGTGAATCCCCATTCTGAGAGAAAAAGAAACGCTGTTGATGTTTAAGAAAGAAAGCGCGCGAAATTGAACGGACCTAAAGAGCCTGGATACCATTGTAGTCTGTCTGTACGTTGTCAGCGGACTGAGACTTTGTGAAATGCGCTAACGTCAGGAAAACGAATCCAAAATGGCGGAGTAGTGGTCGGGTTGTGACCCAAAATTACGGTGCTTTCAAGCTCGGAAGAAAAGAAATGGCCGTAAGTAGAAGAGAGTTAGAGGAACTAAAGCCTTGGGTGGAAGAAACTGTGAAGCGACGGCTTGGGTTTAATGAGAAAAGTGTTGTAAATGCTGCCTTGAACTGCGTGAAGAATAACTTGGATAGAGTTTCATCGCAAGAGAAGCTCTCGTCGCTTTTAGATGATTTAGCACCTCAGTTTGTCACGGACTTATTTGATAAAGTATATCAGCTGAAAAACAGCAAGAATCCTACCTCTGGAAAAAGCTCTCAAGTGAAAAAAAGGACGCTAGAGGATGTGTTTGGAGATGACCACGGAGATGATGGTAATGAATCTGCCGATCTTAAGAGCAGGCGAAAACAAAGTCGCTTCGACGCTTTAAAAGAAGATAACGTACCTTTACCTCCAGCCATTCCTGAAACAGCAGAGAGGCCCACTCCGCTTAGTAGCAGCCAGATAAGTGAAATGGTGGCAAGTATGAAAAAACAAATTGAAGAGCGGAAGAAGCAGTTGACGGTTATGAGACCAGTCCAGCCAGCTACTATTCCTTCAGGTCCAGCTTCCTTCCCACCTCCAGTCCCTGGACAGGTATATGTACGGTATTTACTCGTGTATAGGTCGACCTTGTATGACCAAAATATCAGCCCAAAAATCACCCTGGACTAATATACAAGAGTCATACACAAAGACCCGACCCAAGCATTTCCAAGAAATTAACATAACGATTGCTAGAAGTCCATTTGGAAAACCAAGTTTAAAAAAACAGTTCTAATTGTGTTTGAATTTTTTCAGTTTTTAGCGCATTCTTCATCAACAAAAAAGTTTGAATTAATGAATTTCAAGTGGCTTAAACACAGCTTCTCTGCTGTTTATGGTGCAGGACTTTCATTTTCATCAAACAATGGCAGAAGCTTAGTGACCTGGCAGATGCTGTTGTCGCATGGTCTTGTTTGTTATGTGCAATCCTTCAAAGCTCTTTGTTGTAGCTTTGTAGTACTTAATCTCTTTTCAAACTCAGAATTAAGATGAAGGTCAGTTAAAAGCAGTAAGGATTTCATTTTTAATGTAATTTTCAAAATATGGTGAAGTACTTCTCTAGTAAGTCAAAGTGCTCGTGTTTGCCTAAATCGTGCTGATATAAACAAGTGCTATTAAACTTTGCAGCACATGGTTGCACTTGCTCTGTAGTTTTTTTATTTCAACATGTTTTTAATACATTCTCAGAAATAGTAGATCAACTTTTTGGGAAATTTCTATCAGTCTGAATTTCACTTTTTTCAACTAGAAATGATGAAAAATCCCGATTTTGACCTTGAAAATGGGTGTCAACTTTTACATGAGTTCAAATTATATGTGGTAGTTCAATTTTATACTAGGTTAAAATTTTATTTTCCTTTGTTCTAGGTCATGTTAATGTATGAGAATGAGTTTGAAACAAAGGAAAATAAAATTTGAACCAAGGATAAAATTGAACTACAACATATACACAAGTAAAAACAGTACTCAAAAAATTGTAATTACCCAATGAATGTATTGTCAATGGCTCAGTTCCAAAGTACCAGATAGCAAGGTTTTTTTTTTTTCTTGGTATGTTTAAAATTGCTCCTTTATTAATTATACCGGGATAAATCAAACTTGCCATTTTTCCTTGACTGAACAGAATATTCCTAGCGTACAACAACAACAGGAATTGATGAATGAAGCTATAGAGAAAGCTAGAAGAGCGGCAGAACTCCAGGCTAAGATTCAGGCACAGCTGTCAAACAGACCCAACTTGGTAAGTTAACAAGAAAGCTGCATCCATTTGTAGTTGGTACTAAAAAAATGAATAAATAAACTCAAGATCAACAAACTTGCAAGTAACAGCAAAACTTTCATCTTGCTTATAGGCTAATAGCACTTTAGTTGACCGTGAATAGTAAAAGTGTTTGAAATCAAGTGAAGAAGAATTATAGATTTGGTTGCTCAGTATCTAATGTATTTTGGAATTACGTGTTCTTTACTTATCAGACTATAAATTTTACTCAACCTTTATATAATAAATAATATAAATGATTTGATTGAAACAGTTTGACTAGTTGTTTATTTGTGTTGAAGTTAAGGCAAATTTTGTTCTTTCTCAATGTCTTTCTTTTTGGTAAAAGTTGCTCAGAAGAAGAAAGCTGTTTCAGCAAAACATTGAATTCACCAATAAATAATGCAATTTTTGGTGCAGTGTAAACATGCTGTTTTTAAACCAGTGAGTGGTTGAGTTGCATGTAGGTAGTAGGTTACTTCTTGGAGCATGCATGATTTATTTTACACATCTAAACTTTTTGTAGAATTTTAGATGTTTGTCATTGTTTCTTGCCAGTGATTTTAATTTATGTACAATCCTTTAGTTCTCCTCTTCAGGGTTAACAAGCGCTGGGGCAAACTTGATAAAGTCAGGTTTAATTTCAGTGAGTGCTCTGAAGGACGAAAGCTCCCATCCAAGGTCCTTGATCTTGGATGAATCAGGTCGAACAGTTGATGCATCTGGAAGGGCCATTCAGCTGACCAGCAGAATGCCGACACTGAAAGCTAACATTCGTGCTAAGAAAGCAGAACAGTTTAAGATTGAAAAACCCCCAGAGGATTTAAATGAAAGCAAGTATTTTGATCCACGAGTAGGGTAAGGAAATGGCTTAATTTATTCTTCCTGTTTACTGAATTGTTTACCTTGTGGGTATTATTGCCATGTGACGTGAGGATGATAGGTGAGGGTGAAAGGAAGTAGGAAAAAAAAATATAAATGAAAGTGAAATTGATTTTAAAAATGGCAATGACCTAATTCTACTTAGGGGCAGAATATTTTCTTTAGCTTCAACCCAAGAGTCGTGGTTTTCATGTTTTGTTTTGTTTTTTTTTTACCTTGATGTATAGGTTTTAAACAAAACAAGGGACTTGTGAGTCCTTATTGGTTCATGCCTATTCTCTAATCTCGAATTTAAACACCATAAATTGTTGTAACTTTTGGTTGTGTTTCTTACTTTTCTTAAAACTATATTTATTATAACTTCCCCTCTGTACCTTTTATTTCAACATTTGTTCTGGTTATAATTTGCTCTGCTTGCAGTTCCTGCTGTGCTTGGTAATGGTAGTTTATTTAACTGTAAACTTGTAACTACATAGTAATTGTATCCTTTAGCTTAGAGTAACTTAGCATGTATTTAGTACTAATACCCACCAAGATCAGCCCATGCAATATGCTGGTTGTATAAAGTGTAAAATCTGTGTTATATTAGAAGTTAGAGCTATTCAGTTATCAGTAGCAAAACCACCACATGACAGTTGAAAGCAAACCATTGATAGAGATATTTTGCCTGTCACAGTCACCTGAAATCACTGATTGATTGAGTGATTTCTGGTAATCAGTTGTTAATATTAAATCACTGATTGATTGAGTGATTTCTGGTAATCAGTTGTTGATATTAAATCACTGATTGATTGAGTGATTTCTGGTAATCAGTTGTTAATATTAAATCACTGATTGATTGAGTGATTTCTGGTAATCAGTTGTTAATATTAAATCACTGATTGATTGAGTGATTTCTGGTAATCAGTTGTTAATATTAAATCACTGATTGATTGAGTGATTTCTGGTAATCAGTTGTTAATATTAAATCACTGATTGATTGAGTGATTTCTGGTAATCAGTTGTTAATATTAAATCACTGATTGATTGAGTGATTTCTGGTAATCAGTTGTTAATATTAAATCACTGATTGATTGAGTGATTTCTGGTAATCAGTTGTTAATATTAAATCACTGATTGATTGAGTGATTTCTGGTAATCAGTTGTTAATATTAAATCACTGATTGATTGAGTGATTTCTGGTAATCAGTTGTTAATATTAAATCACTGATTGATTGAGTGATTTCTGGTAATCAGTTGTTAATATTAAATCACTGATTGATTGAGTGATTTCTGGTAATCAGTTGTTAATATTAAATCACTGATTGATTGAGTGATTTCTGGTAATCAGTTGTTAATATTAAATCACTGATTGATTGAGTGATTTCTGGTAATCAGTTGTTAATATTAAATCACTGATTGATTGAGTGATTTCTGGTAATCAGTTGTTAATATTAAATCACTGATTGATTGAGTGATTTCTGGTAATCAGTTGTTAATATTAAATCACTGATTGATTGAGTGATTTCTGGTAATCAGTTGTTAATATTAAATCACTGATTGATTGAGTGATTTCTGGTAATCAGTTGTTAATATTAAATCACTGATTGATTGAGTGATTTCTGGTAATCAGTTGTTAATATTAAATCACTGATTGATTGAGTGATTTCTGGTAATCAGTTGTTAATATTAAATCACTGATTGATTGAGTGATTTCTGGTAATCAGTTGTTAATATTAAATCACTGATTGATTGAGTGATTTCTG